TAGTTCCTTATAATAGGTTCCTTCTTTCCAACCCACTCTCCCTCTACCCTCCCAGTATCACCACTCTCACCACTGGTCCTTAAGGGATCAGGGATCATCCGCCCTGGATTCCCTGTGTTTCCAGTTCCTATCTGTACCAGTGTACATACTCTGGTCCAGCCAGACTTGCAAAGTAGAATTCGGGTTATGATAGTGGTGGGGGGCGGGGGCCGAGGAAGCATGACTGAGAGGTAGCCATTTTTAAAGTATCAGAAAATTGCTCATTAACCAGGTTAATTTATAACTTTTATTTTGTAGTTTTATGGTATTTTTAAATTTTTGTTTTTAACCCTAAACAAAAGATTAATACTGTAATGAATTCTGGCATACTCAAAATAGGAAACATTTGCAATTTAGATGCAGCAGTGGCACAAGTAGATGCTGTTTAGCATTTAAAAGCAACAGTTTCTGAAATTTTGAAGTAAATGTTAATTTAGTAGTTTAATAGCTAAGGTATAATTGTTTCCATTTTCCTGTGCCTTAAATGAAAGGAAGGTTTGGGGCTTTTTTGGTTTTTGGGGTGTTGTGTTGTTTTGTTTTGTTTTTTGCCTTTTTTTTTTTTTGCTTTGGACTTTTTAATCATCCAGCAAAGTAAGTCTGTGTGATAGTCAACACTTCTATATGCATATGGATAAATAATGTGGGAAGTAGAACAGGACATACATATGAATCAAACAGGCCATAGAACTATACACTATACCACCTTTACAAACACCAGATTTATATGGGTGGCTAACTTCAGGCATATGAACAGATCAGCTTTAAATGACAAGTACTATTTTTAATTTACATTTATCTCAAAGTATACATAATTGAACTTATCTTTCACTGCCGCCTCACATACAGTAGAAGAAGAAAAAAATGGTTTGGACCAACGTGATATACATACTCTCTGGTCAACATGGGAGGAGCTTGACAGAGACCTTGCTTTCATCTAGAGTTTTTTTGCCTTTTTATAAACAACTCACTACCTTCGATTTAATTCTTAGTCTGGGTTGCTTCAAAGAGAAAGTTTGCAATAGCAAAATAACTGTCACTTAACAAGAGTAATTGGATTATTTTCATCCAGAGAAGTCAGTAGGGTAAAATATTCCTACATATACCCATCATTCAGCTTTACCACCTATCAAGCTTTTGACATATTTGTCCCTTTTCCCTTATTTCAAATCTTTTATATATAGCCTTCAGTTTTCATCTTGAAGGAACTTTTTAAAGTTAAAATATGTTCCATACCTAACAAGTTTTCCAGATCACCAGTTGTTTTTGGAGTATCTTTAATATTTATTTGGATTAAGATGCAGAACCACATTCATATACTCATTGACTAAATTGCTCTTAGGTTTTCCTTTTTCAGAGGTTTTCTTGTGAATTGCGTGGAAGATTACAAAGCAGATCCCACAATGAACAATCTTTTTATCTCACCTCCCCGTATTTCTATTCCATTCCTCTTCCTTTCCTAGCCATTGTGGATTTTGTCCTTGGGTAAATGCTTAATGGCACTGATGTGTGTACACTTCACTGGTATTTTTGTCCTCCTTAAAGAACTTCATTTTTTGGCTGAAATGGAACCACGGGGGGAGGGGGGGGTGAATTCTGTTCTAGACCATAAGGGTGCCTATGAGCTGTTGTCTTGGGAGAGCTGTCCATTAGCCTTACTTGATGAGTAAGCATGATTTTCTCTTTTTTTTAAATGCTTATGATCCACATTTTTCTCCCACTCTAGCCAGGACCTCCTAATGTAATCCCTTTTAAAGTAGTTGGTAGTAGTCACTGGACACCTTCTAGTTCTGGGTCATGGACACACACTTGTGACCCACCAGTTCATTAAACTACTTGTTTTTATCATCCTTTCCCCTAAATGGGAAGAGACCAGTTGCGGCACTTTTAGATGCCTCTAGGTCTCATTCAGTGTACTGTCATTCTTCACTTTTTTCCTTCTTGCCATTGATAAACCTTGTTCTAGATTTGTTACATCTTTTATTAGCTTGTTCCTTTTCCTGATATTTTCTACAGGTTTTGATGGTTTGCTTAGGTTTAGATTAAACTTAAAATGAGAATAGATCACTGGGATACTACTGTGGACTTACTACATGAAAATCAGGTGTAAATGTATGTTTGTCCCAGTTTTAGTGGTGCCTTGTGAAAGTCTTCATCCATTGATGATCACTGTCAGATCAGACAGTTTGTTAAAAGTTGAAAGAAGGAAGTTTCTTAGTTTTCATCTGTATCGAATAACAGAACTTCTGTAAAGAAGTATTCCTCATTGCCTGGTACTGTTTTTTGTGTGTGAATAAAAGCTCATAAAGGGGAGGCAGGGGATATATCTTAATTCTTCCATTGCCAACTTGTAAAGAACTCTGGTGCTTTATCTTCTGGTGACTGAGAATGGTGAGTGGCTTGTGTCACACATGGGTCATCCTTCAATAGGAGCCCCAGTGACAGAACATTTAAGCAGTCAGCTGCTAGATGAAACTCACTCAGGTCTGTGAGAGAAAAGACCTGGCATTTTGCTCCCATAAAGATGATGAGGTTGAGTTCAATCCAGCTCGTAGTGACATTCCGCCTATTGGCCTGTCTCATTGGGTTTTCTTTTTCTTTTCTTTTTT